CGGACAGAGGCGGAGAGTTCTCCTCTGGCCTTCTGCGAGCCTACTGTCGTGCACGAGGCATCCGTCAGACCTTCACGCTCCCGGACTCTCCGCAGCAAAATGGGATTGCTGAGCGCCGCATTGGCATGGTCATGGACGTCGCTCGTACGTCTATGATGCATGCGGCTGCCCCCCATTTTCTGTGGCCGTTTGCGGTGAGGTACGCGGCACGTCAGATCAACCTTCACCCCAGGGTCTCCAGGCCGGAGACCTCCCCAGCCTTGCTGTGGACCGGGAAGGTGGGCGATGCGTCGGCGTTCCGGGTCTGGGGATCTCGGGCGTTTGTCCGCGACTTGTCTGCGGACAAACTGTCCCCTCGTGCTGCTCCTTGCGTCTTCCTGGGGTTCCCCCCAGACGCGCCTGGGTGGCAGTTCTACCACCCCACCTCTCGCCGTGTTCTGTCCTCTCAGGACGTCACGTTCGACGAGTCGGTACCCTACTACCACCTCTTCCCCTACCGCACTCCGTCCCCCCCCCCGCCCCCGCTCTTCCTTGTACCAGGTCCCCCCCCGGTAGACCCCCTCCCCCCTCAGGGTCCTGCCCCTTCAGGTGTGTCCCAGGTAGACGCAGTCGAGCCTGTCGAGGTCACTGGTGACTCTGGTGCTGCTGGGGGTGCTGAGCCTGGGGGTGCTGAGTCTGGGGGTGCTGAGTCTGGGGGTGCTGAGCCTGGGGGTGCTGAGCCTGGGGGTGCTGAGCCTGGGGGTGCTGAGCCTGGGGGTTCTGAGTGTGGGGGTGCTACGCCTGGGGGTGCTTTGCCTGGGGGTGCTGGACCTGGGAGTGCTGCGCCTGGAGGTCCTCCGCCTCGAGTTTCTACGCGTGCTTTGTCTCGCCGGGAGCCACTCTCTCCACAGGAGCTGCGCGAGTGGTTTGCCCGGCGCTGGAGCCGTGCTGCTGGTGCTGGAGGTTCGTCGGCTACTGAGGGTGCTGCTGTTGCGGGTCCCGGAGGTGCTCGTACTGGGAGTACTGGAGCTGCTGGGCCTGCGGGTTCGACTGGAGCTGGTGCTGCTGAGGGTGTTGGAGCTGAGACTACCACTGGCGGTCCTGCTGGGGATGCTCCTGGTGTTGCTCGAGGTTCTGGAGCTACTGGAGGTGCTGCTGGAGCGGGTGCTCCTGCTGGGGGTACTGGTGCTGTCCCTGCTGTTTCTGGCGTAGCTACGCGGCCTCGACCGTACTTCGTTCCACTCCTGCAGCAGGTTCTTGGTCTTCCGCCCTCTCCTGGTCCTCCTCCTCTCTTGGAGGGTCCACAGCCTGTCCCGTCGCGGTCACTGCTACAGCCTACCTCCCCTTTACCTGCTCCTTCTCCCTACACTGGTCCTACTGGAGGTCTTACTGAGCGTCGTGAGCCTGCGTCTCGCCCTGCGTCGCCTGTCCGTGCTGCTCGCGCTAGTGGTCGTGGTTCGCGTCAGCGTCCTCCTCCTGTCCCTGGCACGCACAGGATGTCTCTGCGTCCGTCTACTGCTCCTCTGCGTGCCCCTTTGCCTTCTCCTCCTGAGTCCTCTCTTCCTGCTCTTCCCGACCCTGCGTCGGACTCTCTTCGTGCTGCCAGTCCTACTGTCACGCGTCTCCTTGCTACTGTCGTCACTGACCCTTCCTTCGAGTCTACTGCTGCGTCTGCCCTAGTTACTGAACTCGTCGACTTTGCTGCTCGCTGTCGCCTAGACTACGCTGCTAGTCTTGTCGCTGAGTCTGGGTCTGCCTGTCCTCCGTCAGTCGGGGGTGAGTGTGCCCTTGGCACGGACGTCCTTGAGGACAGGCAGGAGGAGTTCCAGTGTCTGGCAGCTACTTCACCTCATCTCGTGTCCGTACTGCTTACCCCTGAGGGAGACCCGGATGCACTTGACATCCCGACTCCGCGCTCTTACGCGGAGGCGATAGAGGGTCCCTACTCCTCTCAGTGGCAGGCAGCTATGGATGCAGAGATGGCTTCCTGGAAGTCCACAGGCACCTACGTTGACGCTGTCCCCCCTCTTGGGGCGAACATCGTCAGTGGCATGTGGATCTTCAGGGTGAAGCGGCCGCCGGGTTCTCCGCCTGTCTTCAAGGCACGTTACGTGGCTCGTGGCTTCAGTCAGCGACAGGGAGTTGACTACTTTCAGACCTTCTCCCCCACCCCGAAGATGACCACTCTTCGGGTGCTGCTACACGTTGCTGCTCACCGTGACTACGAGCTGCACTCTCTCGACTTCAGCACTGCTTTCTTGCAGGGCAGCCTGCACGAGGAGATCTGGCTGCGCCGCCCACTTGGCTTCACTGGGTCTTTCCCTCCTGGTACCCAGTGGAGTCTCCGGCGTCCAGTCTACGGTCTCCGCCAGGCGCCACGTGAGTGGCACGACACACTGAGGACTACGCTTGCGGCTCTTGGGTTTGCTCCTTCTACTGCCGACCCGTCGCTGTTTCTACGCACCGACACCTCTCTGCCGCCGTTCTACATCCTCGTGTACGTCGACGACTTGGTCTTTGCCACAGCTGACACTGCTGGACTCGCCCACGTGAAGTCCGAGCTGCAGAAGAGACACACGTGCACAGACCTGGGTGAACTGCGCAGCTACCTTGGCTTGCAGATCACCCGGGACAGAGCACGCCGCACCATTACCCTGACTCAGTCACACATGGTGCAGCAGGTCCTTCAGCGCTTCGGCTTCACGTACTCCTCGCCTCAGGCCACTCCTCTGCCTACTCGCCACTCACTCTCAGCTCTGCCTTCGGATGAGTCAGTAGAGTCGAGTGGCCCGTATCCAGAGCTTGTTGGCTGCCTCATGTACCTGATGACCTGCACACGACCTGACCTTGCATACCCTCTTAGCATTCTTGCACGCTATGTTGCTCCTGGGAGACACCGACCAGAGCACATGGCTGCAGCGAAGAGGGTGTTGCGATACTTGTGCAGTACGTCGGGCATGGGACTAGTGCTTGGAGGGCGGAGTCCAGTGGTCCTCACTGGGCACGCGGACGCTTCTTGGGCTGACGACCAGGCTACGCAGCGGTCGTCGCAGGGTTACACCTTCAGTCTTGGTTCCGGCTCTGTCTCGTGGCGAGCTACTCGCTCGTCCTCTGTTCTCGGCTCCAGTTGTGAGGCTGAGATCTACGCCGGGGCCATGGCTGCACAGGAGCTTCGCTGGCTCACCTACCTGCTGACTGACCTTGGAGAGCCGCCTCGTTCTCCTCCAGTGCTGTACGTAGACAACAAGGCCATGCTGGCCTTGTGTCGAGAGCAGCGCTTGGAGCACAGAACGAAGCACATTGCTCTCCGTTACTTTCTTGCTCGTGAGCTGCAGCAGCGTGGTCAGTTGCGACTTGCGTACGTGGCCTCTCAGGCCAACACTGCTGATGTGTTCACCAAGGCACTTGCGCCTTGTGACCATCAGCGCTTCTGCACTCAGCTGGGTCTTGTACCTGTCTTGCCTCACTTGCTCTCCTCTTGACCTTACTTGTACTGTCACATATATATACCTGCTCTTGCTTGTCTAGCTCTATATATATATGTGTACTCCTGCATGTGAACTGGCCTTGTGGCCTTGTCGTTGTGCTCGGACTGTGTGGTGACGTTGTGATCCACCCTGAGCTTGCTCTGCTTTGCTTGACTGGTCTTGTGACCCCTTGTTCTCCCCCACTTTGCCTATGGGGGTGTGTCAGAACATTATATAGCTTATGCTGTTGTGTAGGCTATAGTGGGGTATCCCATAGGGGGTACAACCCAATTAGGGTTTTCCATATGTACTCACCTCATTCATAGTTCATTCATCCTCGTTCTTCATTCTTCTCATTGTTGTCACCAAGAAAAAAAGGGGGAAAACAAGGTCAAATACACTTTCAATCATGCCCACAAGCGCATGTATGCAAGGAGGGGTTCGTCCTCTTCATCCTGGTGCCTTTCGCCATCAATTTGGTCTCACAAATCCGCCGTTTTTTTCTTCTAACAAAAAACACCTCTTGGAACCATTTTAAACCGTTTTTTACGGCCGTTTTTTACTGTACCGTTTTTTACAGTAAATTTTCAATTATACGGTCGTTTTTTTTAACCCTGCTGGGGATCGATTCTCTGTGGCTGAGGCAAGCGCATGGAAAGGCGGATCGTTTTTGCCGCTGCCTGAATATGGTGCTGGCAGTGTTGTCGTTGGTTGTGGCGGTGGGGTTCTTGAGAACAAGATCCAAATCGGAGGGTTATCAGAGCAGCACCGGAGCAGCAGCAACAAAAGCAGAGAGAGTGATTCGAGTGATACAGGCGGCTCTGGTAGCACCGGCACCAGAACCAGCACCACCAGCAGCAGCAATTGGCTGGATGTCATGGCACCCCTCGGAGCTTCACCTCATCAAGTCTCACTCCCTCCTTGCCTCCTGGTGAATTGCCTTGCCATTCCCTTCTGTGCCTTTTCCTTCCTTCTATCATCCCTTCCACCCCACTAGTGGCTACATGTCATGGCGCCGCACTACATCGGAGCCCCGCCTCATCAAGTCACTCTGCTGCCACAGCCAGACAAGCCAACCCACCTGCTCTTTGTGCAACGACTCATTCAGGTGCATTTGACTTCTGCGTGAGTTGAAACGTAGAGGAGTTGATCTTGGTTTAGGCCACTCTGCTGCCCCAACCAGAAAAACTGGCCCACTTGCTCTTTGTGCAGAGACTCTTTCAGGTGCTTGCGGTTATTTTTGGTTCAGGTGCGTTTCAGGTGCCTTCTGGTTTGGGTGCCTTCTACTTCAGGTGCCTTCTACTTCAGGTGTCTTCTGATTCAGGTGCCTTCTGCTTCAGGTGCTTTCTGGTTTAGGTGCTATCTTGTTCAGGTGCTTTATGGTTATGGTGCCTTCTGAAACACTCCATTCCATTTCGAAATGCCCCTTTCCTCCGTTCCTGTCTCCCTCTCACCCTACCTTTCCCCGGTCCTCTCCTCACTTCCTCAGCCATCTTTCCAGTTCTGCTGTCTATCCAGCTTTTGAACCCAACTTGCACATACCCTGCACTTTAAATGCCCCACCCCTCTACTCCCTTCCCCTCCATCCCTCTCACCTCCCCCTCTAACCCCTCCTCCCTCCCCCCCCACCAGCCCTGCTTCCAGCACTACAACCGTCCCTCCCCAGCGCTCCTCTCCTCGCTGCGCTCACACCACCTCCTCCCACCCGCGGGTCTCCCCCTCTTCCACGCCAACTGGATGCTCAGGCGCCCGCCACCTGTCCCGCTCCTGCCACCTGGCGGGCCCGTCTCCGCTGACGTGGCAGCTGATGTGGCAGCTGACGTGACTGCTGTCGTGGAGGCTGCTGGAGAAGGGGCGGCTGGTGAAGTGGAGGAGGATGGATTCGCGGGGGTGAGGGGTATAGTTGGGGAGGACTGGGTGGTGGTGGTGGCGTTGCCACCTGGCGCGATGCTGTTGGATAGAATACAGGAGATGGTGGATGAGATAATCCAAGACAACTGGTGGCACGGCCGGGTGGTTTATTTTCGAGGAGGCATGGGCGTGCAGGAAGGTGAGATGGGGAGATGCCAAGGGGATGGAGCAAGGTGAGATGAGGCATGGAGGAAGGCGAGTGAGGGTGGGGTGGGTAGGAGTAGACATGAGCAAAAATTCGAACGCCTGTTCGGTTCATCCGAACATGCTCGTGATCGAACCGAACCGAACATGTTTTTTGGCAAAAATGTTCGGCCGAACATGTTCGATGTTCGGAAAGGGGGGGTGGAAGGCGACGGGGGAGGAGCTGGCCCACTGAAAACACACTCTCGAACCTCGAACATGTTCAGGTTCGCCCCGAACATGCAGTGTTCGCCCCCCTATCACGAACCTCGAACACCCCTTATCCCCAAAAACTATTCGGGCGAACCGAACATGTTTGGTGTTCGCCCGTTGCTCATGTCTAGGTGAGAGCGACGAAGGTGAGTGAGGAGGGGTGGGGTGGGTAGAGGATGGTGAGTGAGGGAGAAAGAAATGGGAGAGTCAGGGATGATGGTGGGATGGGAGGGATGGGCGTAGGGGAAGGGAATAACAGTGAGTAGAGTATCAGCAAGAGAGATGAGAGTGGGAGTGGGAAAGTATTCGAGAGTCGATATGAGTGATGCAAGAAGGACGGGGCTGGGTATGTGTGGGTGGTGCACCTTTGAAAGGGCGGTGATGACAGATGCTGAGGGAGCAAGGATTGTAGGGAGGGACATGTGTGAGTAGGAGGGAAATTGAACCATTTTGATCCATAATTACTACCATAATTTCTTCCATTTTTCCTTTTCTTTTTCTTAAGCGCCAACAACCGTCCAACCACCCGCCCTTCCTGCCCTCCTTCTAACCCTCCCCCCTCCCCCCTCCCCCCCCAACAGTCAGGGCTCTCTTTTCACGCGCACTCCTCCTCATCGCGCCACCAGGGGAGGCTCTGGATTTGATTCTCTTCATGCCGCCTGCTGCTGTCGTGCTCGAGATTCAACCCTCCTCCCATCCCTCCTCCTCCCACCGCGCTCTCTCTCACTCCCTCTCCCTCCGCCACCACACTCTCTTCTGCAAGCTTGTCAACGTTTCTGGGCAGCCCAAAAAGCTTTCGTGTGACCGGTCCGCGCTCACACATGTCATGCAAGCCCTATCCACGGAAGATTTTTTCAGCCCGGCGCTGCCTGGAGGCACCCGGACAGCGCGAGCTGCCCTGGCAAAAACATCCATACCCGGATCCTTAATCCGCGGGCAGGCGCAGGTGAAAAAATGGAAGGAATGGGCAGCATGCGTTGCCCGAAAGGGCGAATGGGTCCTCAACCCAAAACCCTGAACCCTGCCTTGGGATTATCGAGGGGTGAGCAATTACTGCGATAACCGGCACTTAAGTCTGAATTCCTCCCGCATGGCATATGCTGGTGTTGCTGATGCTTATGCCATGAAGCCGGGGGCGAGTGAGGTAGGGTGGACGGTGCGGGAGGGGGTGAAGTACAAGTGGGTGGTTGGGCCCTCCACATGCCCGGCGCCGCACGTGCCCGAGGAAATTAAAGCCTTTGAAGGATCGGCTAAGACACGACTTGAAGAGGCTCGGGAGAAGGAGAGGCTAGTGAAATCTCAGCTGAAAAAGAATGAGATGGGAGGAGCAGCAGCGGAGGCAGAAGCATCAAAAGCAGCAGCAGCTGCGACAGAAGCAGCAGCAGCAGCAGCAGCAGCGGTGGACCTATCCCACCCCTGGCTGCCCTTCAACGCATCAGTGTTCTGTGAGCGGGTGGGACAGGGCCGGCGGATTCTCTTCCTGGGAGACTCCAAGCAGTACCAGATGGTGCAGGTGTTTGTGAACCACATGGCGTGGGGATGGAAGGGAAAGAGGAAGCCTGCGAAAGAGTTGGTGAATCTGGAGGAGCGGCCAAAGGCGTGTGCGGATGCGCTGGGAGGGAATGCAGCTAAAATGGGGCACGAGTTCTGCCAATGGTGAGTCACCTTATAGCGAGTCAAAGGTGAGTTTTATGCCAAGCCTCCTGGGGGATTCCAAGCCAAGCAGTACCGATGGTGCAGGCATTTGTGAACCGCATGGCGTGAGGGTTGGAAAATACTGACTGCTTTGCATCTTTGCTCAACCACTGTTTCATCTCTTCCTTCCGCACCCTCCCTCACCCACACCCCTCCTGTTTCCAGGTTCACTTTCAACTCCTCGGTATGCTCGAGCTTTAAGGTTGACTTTGTTCGAACGACCATCTATCGCTGTTTGATCCAAAGGGAGTTGTATTTGACCACATGCCATGGGGCCAGCCTGATGTGGCAGATATCCCTTCTACATACGTCATCGTTTTGACCAGGGGCCCTCACTGTGTTGGGCTGAGAAAAGCCCTTAGGATCTTTGCAGGAATAAACTCTGAGTAGGAACAATGTAATAGCGGAAGCGTTTAATGATAAGTTTGTGAACCACCTTGCGCTGGTATGTGAGGGCAAAGTAGATTGATTAAAACAAGAGGATACAAGGTTTTATAAGAGTACAAGGAATATGAAGATATACAGTTAATAATTGTTTTACTGTTGCTGTTGCGGTTCAGTACAGTGACGACTCGGGCAACTGCTCGATAACGAGTCAGCTGTTTGTCCTTGCTGTCGCGCTGTACTTGTCAGGTCAAAGGTCGCTGGCCTTTGACTTTCGCGTAACCTCCAGCGGTTTCTTCACTTCTCAACCTCCAAGTGTTGACTCGCCGATGCTTCACTGTATTTCGCTTCGTTTACGACTCAGTGCTTCGACACGACAGAGGCGCTTAAATCACTTGTTTCCAACACTCCCCTTTGCGTCTGGAGTGTCATTGCTGATGACGTGGCCTTGTCCAGTCAGCAACATGCAGTACTCGAACTTCTGCTTTCCGAGCTTCTTGGTCAAGTAATCAGCTGCCATCTCAGACGTAGGGCAGTAAGACAGCTCGAGTCTGCCCTTCTCGATCTTATCTTTCACGAAGAAATATCGCAGGGCGATGTGCTTCGTCCTGTTCGCGAATCCGTTTTTGTTCGCGATGCGAATTGCAGACTGGTTGTCGCAGAATAGAGAGAAGCTGGGGAACTGGGCCAGTTTCGCCTCTTCCAGCAGTTCGCGAAGGTAAAGTCCTTCCTTGGTGGCTGAGGAGAGTGCAATATATTCTGCTTCAGCTGAGGAGAGAGCAATTAGTTCCTGCTTGCTCGACTGCCATGAGATGGGCCCGATAGGCTCGAGTCGGTAGATATAGCCGGTGCGCGAGCGCCTGTTGTTAGAGTCGCCGGCGTGATCAGCGTCGACGTAGCCGATTAGTTTAGGCGCCGTAGTTCCGGTCTTGTAGTAAGTTAGTCCGATCATCGGGGTGCTGACGAGGTAGTGTAGTGCGCGGTCGAGCTCCGCCATGTGCTCTGCTTCAGGTTTCTTGAGGTAGGTAGCGAGTTGGCTTGCGGAGTACGAGAGATCCGGTCGGCAGGTGACGGCTGCGAAGAGCAGGCATCCTAGTTTTCGTTGGTAGTCGCGTATGCCGGCGGGTTTGAGTAGAGCGGAGCTTTCCTTGTGATTTCCGGCGGTGTAGCGGTATGGCGTAGAGATGGCGGTCGGGGAGAGTTCGAAGCATTTGGCGATGGTGTCGGCGTATTTCGCGGCGTTGAGGTAGATCGCGCCTTCCTCTTCTTGGATGTTGAGGCCGAGGTATTGTGTGACAGTTGATGACACTGTGAGAGTAAGGTCCCGCTGTAGCTCCCCTTCGAACCAGGTAGTGACGCCATCAGTCGAGCCGATGTAGAGCAGATCGTCCACGTAGACGATGAGCAGAATATAGTCGTCGTCTCTCGTGAGCCGGTACATGCCCTGGTCGTGCGGTAGTTGGCGGAATCCGATGCGGGTAAGTCTAGCGTGCAGGTACTGTTGCCACAGTCTCGGGGCCTGTTTAATACCGTACAAGGACTTCAGCAGCTGACAGACTTGGTTGGGCTCTCCGTTTGAGCCGTGTGGTAATTCGGCGTCAACAGGTGCGTAGAGGAAGGCATTAGCGACGTCAATTTGCCACAGCTTCTTCTTCTTCATGGCGGCGATCGCGAGGAGAATTCAAAGCAAAGTGTGTCGGCTGACCGGGGCGAACGTCTCGGTGAAATCGCGTCCGTGCTCTTGGTCGAAACCGCGCACGACCCAGCGCGCCTTAAACTTGTCGATGGTGTCGTCTGCCTTTGTCTTCACTCGGAAAACCCATTTTCCGGTGAGTACCGTTTTGTTGCGTGCCACGCCGATGGGAACGACTTTCCAGGTGTTCCGTTCTTCCAGCGCTTTCAGTTCCTTGTCCATGGCTTCGCGCCATTTTTCCTTATGCTCCCCCCTCAGAGCCTGCTGAACTGTGGCAGGCTCCTTAGGAATCGCTGTGGCGTGGACCGCGGTGATAAGGCCGAGTATCTGGAGGCCACTCTGTGTGTAGCGGGGAAGTGTCGTGTCCTCGGGATAAGCCGATTCGTCTCCTGCTTCTGGGTCAGGGATGAAATTGGGCCCTATGCGTTATGCTTCGTTGGTGTTGACTCTTGCAGGCGTAACGTAACTGTTGTCGGCGAAGTGGTAATATACTTCGGCGTTGACGCTTTCGCGGGGATTTTCGTCATCTATTGGGACGTCGACAGAGCAGTAAGGGAGAGGTCTGGCTTCCTCCGAGGCTTCGTCCACATTCTGTTTGTCTCAGTCAGCTTCGTCTGCTGCTGAGGCGAAGGCTTGGTCACCATGAAAACCACATGTGGGGTCCCGGTCTTCTTCCAGGTTGGCAAGGTAAGTCGGAAGTGTGAGTCGCTCGTAGAAAATGACATCACGTGCTGCTACTGTTTCCTTTGAGTAGACGTCAAAAATCTTCCACGCGTTGTAATTCTTTTCGATGCCTAGGTGTAGTCCCCACTGTGCGCGCTGGGAGAATCGGTCGGCTCGTGCAGCTGGGGGTCGGTACTGTACCATGCAGCCGAAAACTCTTAACATTTTTGTGCTACCCTGTTTTCCTGTCCACAGCAGGTGCGGTGATGCGTTGTTTGGGAGCGATGATGATGAGAGCAAGTTGTGCAGCATGACAGCGTGGTCCATTGCTTCGGGCCATTGGTGGTTGGGTAGCCGCATGCCACGTAGCAACTTGCGCATGGTGTTCTCGAGAGTCCTGTTCATCCTTTCTGCTACGCCTTGCTGTTGGTGGGCGTAGGGAAGGGAGATGAGCCGCTTGATCCCTCTTTTTGCCAAGTACTGCTTGAACCTCTGTGAGGTGTATTCTCCTCCCCCGTCAGACTGGAAGCTTTTTAGCTTCACGCCTGATTCTCGTTCTGCTACTGGGAGCCAGGCGACGAAAGCCTCGAAAGCCATGTCTTTGCCCGGAAGATTGAGGTGCCAAACGTAGCGTGTGGCGCCATCGATGAACGTGATGGTGTAGCTGTATGCTCCTTGTCCAGGTTCACGATTGTACAGGATGTCACTGTACACTTTCTCGAGTGGTGCGTAAGCTGGTGCGCTCGGGTTGTGGTGAGAAACGAACGGCCGATGTGGTAAGTCGGCTTCGGGGCAGGTAAAGCACGTTCCGCGAGCTCGTCGAAGTTCGCTTCCGTCTGTTAGAAGTAATGAGTCTTTGTCGAGCATCCCTGCTCTAATTGTGTTATTTAACACCGTGTTGCTTGGATGTCCCATTCGTACGTGCCAGATATCTTCGCCAGCTCGATGTCCGGGTGAGCGACGGTACAAGTCGGAGTTGGAGTAGAAGCTTGCGGTGAGGTTTGCGCTTCGATGTACTTCTCGTGGTGTTGGATTCAGTTGCTGCGCAGAAGTCGGTGGAGTGTCGTTGTCGATTGGTGCTGGTGCAGTTGAAGGACCCGCGATTGGTGCTGATGCTATCTCTGCTGCTGCCAATGTTGTCTCTGCTGCTGCCGATGTTGTCTCTGCTGCTGCCGATGTTGGCTCTGCTGCTGCCGATGCTGTCTCTGCTGTTGCCGATGTTGTCTCTGCTTTTGCCGATGTTGTCTCTGCTGCTGCTGATGTTGTCTCTGCTGCTACTGATGTTGTCTCTGCTGCTGCCGATTGAATTGTTGCTAATGCTCTTGTTCGTTCTGCCTCAGGGATGGTGTGCGAATACCAGAAACCTTCGGGGCTGAAGTCAGGATCGAGATCCGGTGGGTGCGTCCAGGAGGTGAAGGTGACGATTCCGTCGCTGTCGGTGGTGCCTAGATCTGGAACGAAGTCGAGGACGAACACGTTGTTTTTCAGCACGGCCTTGCCGATGTAGAGGCTTCCTCTCCCGTGGTACAGCTTGAACCCCTGTGTTGTGCTGTCTGCTTCGAGGTGGATACCTTTCGCCATCAGCTGATTGACACTCAGTAAGTTGTAGCCGAGTCCCTCCGCAATTAAAACTTTTGACATCTGTAGTATAACATTCGTTTCCCGTGACTGAAGTTGAACCACGTCTTGTCGTCGTGCGCGCAGGTTCTGGTTGTTGGCGACGGTGATCACGACTTCCCGTTGAAGTTGGTATTCCCGTTGAACAAAGCGACCTGAGGAGCACATATGCTATCCGCAGCAACTTTCCAAGAGCCAAGTGTCTTTCCCGGACGGCTCACTTTGAGCGATAGCTGCAAACGTCGGGTTCGGTTGGAGTGACTCGCGGCGAGGGGTGCTGTTGTCGAGTTGCTCTTCCGGTGAGTAGTGCGGTGGTGATTCGGTGATGCAGGAGTCAGTCAATCTTGCCATGCAACTGATGATGTTTCTTGCTCCTTGTGCAGATTATGTTGACGATGACATTGAGGGCTGCAGTTGACTCGTGGGGTGCGCTTGTGTGGACGCCACTTGACTGCTTGAAGGACGAAGTTGGCGTTGTGGTGGCGTTGATTGCTGTCGATTCGAGCAGTGTGTGTGAGGGTGCCCTGAAGTCTTGCAGAGATGACAGAACGGAGGTACGTGTTTTGGTTGATGCCGGTTGTTGTTGTTGTAGTGCCGTTGAGTGTGAA